TTTTATTATGAAATGATAAAGCTACCCATTTCATTATGTATGTAGTCAATTTTTTTTTAGTGGAGTTAAAATTAACGTAGATATATGACCGAACCTAACCAACCCTACCTAACCTAACCTATCTTTATAGGTTAGGTTAGGTCGCCGAAAAAGTTAGGTTAGGTTAGGTAGGTTAGGTAGTCGAAAAAACATTAATTCATGAAAACTTGGCTTATTAGGCAAATCGGGCCTTGCATAGTAGGCTGAGAAGTGCGTTCTGGCTACTAGGTACGACATATATATATATATATATATATATATGTCGTACCTAATAGCCAGAACGCACTTCTCAGCCTACTATTCAAGGCCCGATTTGCCTAATGAGCCAAGTTTTCATGAAATAATGTTTTTTCGTCTACCTAACCTACCTAACCTAACCTAACCTAGCTTTTTTTGGCTACCTAACCTAACCTTACCTATAAATATAGGTTAGGTTAGGTAGGGTTGGTTAGGTTCGGTCATATATCTACGTTAATTTTAACTCCAATAAAAAAAAATTGACCTCATACATAGAGAAAAGGGTTGCTTTATCATTTCATAAGAAAAAAATTATAGTAAATATATTAATTCAGGAAAACTTGGCTTATTAGGCAAATCGGGCCTTGAATAGTAGGGGCTGAGAAGTGAGTTCTGGCTACTAGGTACGACATATATATATATATATATATATATATATATATATATATATATATATATATATATATATATATATATATACACACACACACACACACGCACACACGCACACACACGCACACACACGCACGCACGCACGCACGCACACACATGCACGCACACACATGCACGCACACACATGCACGCACACACATGCACGCACACACATGCACGCACACACATGCACGCACACACACACGCGCACACACACACACACTGTATAACTAATATATGGGGACATGAAAGTTAAATTAGATGTAGAAAAAAAAAAACACTAAGCACTTTTCAAAACTTTGTGTCACTTTGAATAGAGTCCGCCCCACATGATCCAAATTAGTGATCAATTGCTATAGCTCTAGAATTTGAACCAATGCTGCTCTAAATTCTTGTGAGCAGACTATCACAAGCCAGATCTAGCCAACAAATCAAAGCAAGCTGGAGCTTACTGAATAGTAGTTTTCATGCCTAGTGCTTTGGAATATACAGGATTAAATTCTCGTTGGTCTTGATTATTAAAAATGTTTTTTACATGTGCAGATATGCACGCCAAAATATGTCCAAGTACATATAAAGAGTACCGTATATACGAGATACATTTCATGACTCACCTTGAAGGAGTTTGAAGAAATGCTATTCAAGAGATAGTTCTCCATGTAGGAGGTGAGCGGCACCCCTTTCACAGTAATAATGGTCTCTTGCCTTAGGATAGTCTTTTCATCGTCGGTGGGATCGGGGGAGTATATCATGCGTTCGTCCATGCTTACAGTGCTAGAAAATGTTAGCTGTAGAATGTAAAACAAGAATTCAATATCAGCATTATTATAATGACATATCAAGGGTTCACCACAACCATGAGGCGATACCAGAACAATGAATTAAGGCGGCTCAATCAACTTTACTCTTGAACATGGTTTTCAGATTGATCATTTTTATATTTAGATTTAAAACATGAGCATGGTTAATCAAACCTTAGGAAAAAAAACAATTCAATTCAAAAATTTTACAAATGTTGCTGCATAGTCATGTTTTTTTGTTATCATTGGGAAGCTCAGAGTTCTATAATAGTGAAAACCAAAAAAGTTCAAATTTGTTTCCCAATAATAAAAAACTACAAAAAATCTCATTTACAAAAAAAAAAATGAAAAAAAGCCCTTTTAGTATTTTAAAACCACCTGAGCTCTATATTCCGCTCCAAATTTCATAAAAATTAATTAACAACTTTACAATCTAAAAATAAAAAAATTTAGTCATGAGATTTTAATTTTCCCACCAAGAAAACAGCATCATAAATCCTAAACAAAGCTTTAATTATACGACTTAATTTACATATGCTTTCCCATGACATATGTAATTAATTATTTTTTAAGTTTAATAGAAAAAATACTTGTTCCTAGCTTGCCATTATTGCCAAATATTTTTAGCAGCTATGTGACTTAAAAGAAAAAAATTACTTAGTAGTTGGCTGACTTCTTTCAAATAAAACTCAATGTGTGGTTAATCATCTATGCTATTTAATGCCATTAATAAACTGACAAAAATAGCCAAAATATTATTTGAGTCCCTTAAGCATACCTACACATTAATTGGGTTTGATAATACAGGTACTGTAATTGCAATTTGTGACACCCTATTATTCAGTGGAAATATACACATTAAAACATCGTAGAAGCTGCTGTAAACAGCTTATCACTATAACATGAGAAAAGTAACATCGCTGAAAGTGTTACGAAACAATACCGAGTATAAAAATACTCTTAATAAGATAAGGAAAAATTCAAGAACTAAATACACAACAGATTCTACTGAAATAGACCCAGAATTCTTGTGGGGAAAGATTTAGTGTTATAAATGTAAGATATACCGAATACAAAAATACGAAAAGAGCACTCTGCTAAAGGCCCAATAGCCTGTGAGGGATTGTACCTCCTATTTAGGCCTAGCCACATCCAATCATATATTGTATATCTAACCAACACTTGAAGCAACACAGATATACCACCTATTCCAGAATTGTGGAGACACATCTCTAAGGTATTTTGTATTTACCCAGGCATTTGACACTAAACTTATTCAGTTTGTACCCACAATGACATATTACATTTTGTCTTGATATACTTAGCACAATATAAATATTCTACTTGTTATTCCCCTTCATCCATTTGTATACTTCAATCATGCCCCATGTCATTCTAGAGAATGTAAATTCTCTCTATATATAAAGGCAGCTCTCTCATTCCCAAGACTAACTTTTGTTAACCTTGTCAGTAAATATTCAAGGGAAATTATGGCCATTTTATAGTATGGTGCCCAAAACTGAACAGCATAATCTAAACGGGGCTTAATAAGGGCAACAATGGTTTTAGATTCCTATTAAGCTCAACTTCCAGATCTTTGTTTTATTCAGATTTAGCAACTTCAACACTGTTAAAGCTGATGTTTGGTAACTATCAACATTTCCCAGGTTCAGAACATAATATCACAGCATTACACAGCATCTGGCAATCTTTCCTACTGTTAAGTCAAAAGTGGTCTCATAATGATCTTGAATTTTCATCTGAATATTTCCCACCCTATTTTAGTGTCAACAGCATTGTTTCAAATTTGATTAATCCTGTGCCTGTCATATATAATGATAAACAACAGGTTAAAACCAAAGACAGAGCACTCCACTAACAACAGCTTCCCACTCTGACTGGGCACTAATGAAGCTGACAGCATTTCCTTTGAAACACCTATGATCTTGAAATTTTAAAAAACAAATGATGAAATTTATGTTTACAGTTAAACACAAATATGTTTTGATCACTGACAATACTTGCAACATTTTGCAGACATTTTCAAAACAAAAAATGCCCTCACCCTTATACATATTAAATAGAGAAGTACATAAACAGTACTGTACATTATACAAACATATAATGCATGTTTATGTGTAATTACCTAAGTAAAGTTACAAAATGAGAGCTATGCTCGTGGGTCACTGATTACCTATTACTAATGGGCTTGATGCATGTGCGTCTTGGGCCAGAATGAAGGTTGAAAATACAGGAAAGAAATGAGTAATGTTAGTGTATAAAATGCACCTGGAGGAGCTGTTGCTTGTATGCATATCAGCCCCTTAATGTATGAAATAAGGGGACAGAGGCTACCATTGCTCATTTAGGACCACAATGTTTGTGTAAAATTACTGCAATGGCATTAGAATTATGATTATTTGTTTAGTTATTATTTTTAGTTAAGCTAATGTTGGTCACAAAATAAGCATATTTGTTAAAGGCTTAAGATATATGAGCACACGAGTCTGATCATAAAACTTACTATCACCTGTGCAATGATAGACTTTGCCAAATAGCAATATAATTCTTACATTTCAGAGAGATCTATACATTCAACCATCAATGAAATATCTAGCATCAATTAAACTTTAAATTGTTTCTTAATAGTGTAAGCTCATAAGCTGAAGATGATTTGTGACAATTTTGTTTCATATGGACCAATATCAAGAGCCACTGCATTAAACTGTACAAAATGTTAAGCTATGCTACAGAAATTATAACCAGCTACAGACAGCTGGTTATAGAGGACAACACAACTGATGTGAGCACAGGCCAATACAAACTACAGTATTTACATTTAATAATTGATTAATACTGTACTAACAGCTGAACTGTTATAAACCACTTATAACTCAAAACTTATCATGCCACTTATAATGAACTTCGTAATTTCAAGATGAGCTAATAAAAATATATAGAATATAGTGAGTCCAAGAGACTGTGCTAGACAGTTTGCAACTCACAAGCTTCCTGTAATATTTTGATTTTTGACTCTTGCCTGCTTGCATCTCTACATGTGGCAGAAGTCATCATATTGGGTTGGCATTATGTGGCCATCACCCCATCTACACAATCTCGGCCAAACTTCCCGTCGTCCTGTGGTCCTGTCTAACAGTGAGAGGAACACAAGGTGGGCAAAGGCATGGTCATCATTGCTGGGTGGATGGGGTTCAACTTATCCTGATTAAGATTTAGGGAGTCTTAACATGTGTAGTTTCACGAAAGAAAGGTATCAAGCTACTTTTCACTCTTACTTCAAGTAGTTAAGACTGCCCGACAATCACAACACAGGTATCTGCTAATATGCATACAGTAATAAAGATATTCAGCCAATACTGTACTGTAGCTTTATAGTCTTGATAATGTATACATTTTGTAGTTATTGTGTATGATACACCAAGCTTCTTTAAGTTAATCCTGCAGGTGAGGTCAACCCTCATTTCTGGAGATTGTTATAACTTACAAATCTTGGATTTTGCTTAAATTATACTACATTGTTATAAGGTTCATATATCAGTAAGGGTTCCTACACAAGAAACATCATCTTCATATGATGAAACGGTTATTACCTCTCATATCTACTATGTTATCTTCAAAAGACTATTCCATTTGGGAACTCTCTTATCTTGCGTGTAGCCTAGTGGACTCATGCATTTCAATGTTGTAATTATGTAAAATTTTTAAGACAAATTTAAACAATTTACTGAAGAATTCCACAAGATGAATTAGATATCACATTGCAAGTTATTTATTCTTTTTACAGAATAAGTAAAAATAAAAGCAAAGTTGCCCAACATTTAAATGAATATCAGCAAGTTGTGTACTGTACTCTAAAAGAAATCTTGACAGATGCTTTTTGAGGAAAGACCCAAGTTATCAGGAAAAACTGGTTAGTATGTTCCACAAAATGACTAGAGGAAAGGAACCATTAAAAAGCACCATGCTCTAATACAAATTTAACAATACACAGCCAATACTGATTTACAGGTACAATAAACTGTGGTGCATTTATAGCTATGCAGTCTGAACACCTGAGATAACAAAATTACTTTTAGTGATTGGTTGACAAAAAATGATCAGATGGGGTGTCAAAGAAATTGTCTGTTCATGATTCCCTTACCCGACTGAATATTCGCAATGACACCATAGCCCACACCATGCATGGTGATTTCTAGCAGCAAGAATCAATAATGGCTCGCCAAGTGCTTCAGAAAGCAGCATAAAGGAATGAAGGAAGAGGAAGCATTTAAATGCCATGTTGAAAAAAAAGCATGAAGGGTTAGAGAGAAGAGTTTTCTAGGAAAACTTCCCTTAATGGGAAGCTCTCAGAAGAGAGTATATGGCATTGGGACTATAAACTGATCAGTAGAATAATGTTAAAGCAAGAACCTCATTGCTCTCGGCGCTGACTAGGGTGAGGCGCCACAGCCACATTGCCATTGTACAATAGATTTCTACAGCTTAAATTATCAAGCAAAACTGCCTAATCTAACAATTTTGTATAATTTCCCCTAAAGTTACATGAAAGCTATCTAATGTTTCTGAATCTCAACCAAATATTAATACCAGAACTGTACAGGACTTTATTGAACCTTATACTTGACTGCGATTCGAACTAAAATGGTTCTGAACCTTCATGGTACATCTAATTTTTATTAGTGCAATGATAGAAAATATACACTTGTACATTTTCATACCAGATTCAAATGAAATAGGCCATTTTTAATAAAGAAATCATCTTTCAGGCTTTCTAATTTATCAAATTTCCCAAAGAAGTAGGTTCCACTCAAATGAGACTCCACTAATGAAATCAGACCCTATTTAACTCTCAAACAAAAAATAAAATCAGAGATTTTGTCTTATATTTTATAAAATATGCCTCATAAGTGATCAGCTCTGGCTTATAGTCTATCAAGTGTTCTGTAATGTCATACTGGATCTAATGACCAGTATCAAGACCTGTCAAAGCTACTCATATTAAGTTAAGGTAATCTGAAAGAGTATGACAGTGAAGCAAGTTATTTATAATTGCTTTGTCCACACCCATAATACATCTAGATATGACAATTTACTCCAGTGTTCATTGCCATTACTTATTTTAATTGTTAAACAAGAAATCCGTGGAGTGAGAAATGCCTTAAAGATTACAAGAATATGCAGTATCAGTTGATAAATAGAAGATAAAAACTGGGAGCCAGACAGGCCCGAGTAATGATTATGAAATAATAAAGCGGGAAACTCGCAACAGTTACACAACACAGCCTTAGATGTTCTGTTTACTTCACCCTATATATTTATCACATGGCTCATTATGTTGAAAACACCAAGTCCCCAGTATCTGGCCACCACAGCCAAAACACCTATTTTATCTACACAATAGAACAATCTATAATCTCTAAGCCATTGGATAGAATACAAATGTTAAAACTTTTCAAATATACTCTAATAGCATGAAACTTGAGTGGAATCAAATATGAAACGGCATACAATTTAGAACATATGCTATATGTTTTTTTACTTTGAAAGGAACATATACCTTTACTATACGTTACTTATTAAAACCTTAATTTTTACCATTAAATGTATGAGGTAACATTTTAACTTGTTTTTAGGCATATGTACAATCTAATCAGGCAGAGGGTTACCTGCCAGGCGGGGAAGGAGGACAGCAGCTGATTTTACCAAACAGTACATGGGGTAAGGTGAAGGGTCGGGCAGAAAATTATTTGTCAGTTCCACCAGGTTGGGGATGGGGCGGTCTTAAGGGCGGGCTCAGGCTTGCTCGCCCCTGGCAGGGGCGAGTCTGCCACTGTGCAAAGATGGGTTATTTAGCAGATACATCATGCCATATCTTTCTAAATGGGATCACATTTTCTATATAAACCATACACATACACTGCCCATTATTTATGTGCCCTATTCATTAAAGTACAAATCTTTCCTATAAACACTAAATCCTGTTGTTGATCAATGGAGATAGCATGAAGCAAATTACTACAGTACAAATAACCTGACACTGGATTATAGTGTAGATAAATGCAGCATTATATGTGGTTTAGTGATACAGTATTATTATAAATATTCTGTCAGTACTCATGATTGTTATATTACAAACATCCTGCATGTGTTTATCCGATACTCGTAATGGGGAAATTCCATGAAAATTATGTGCCAACAATATACCTATTTGGCCATGTATTGTATATTCAATATGAGGTCAGATACCCGATTTGTGACACGTTTCACCAACTGACGAAAGTTTTATAATAACTACTGAATATGGGTATCATACAGGCTGCGAGCAGCCACGTCCAACAGCCTGGTTTACCAGTCCAGCAACGTGAAAGCCTAGTCGAAGATCGGGTCGCGGGGACGCTAAGCCCCAAAATCATCTCAATGTATTCAAGTTAACTATAATATACCATAGATTTTACCAATAACCTAATACTGTACTGGACCACATTTCTTTCTTATTCGTCTATTAAAAGAAATAACTTTCTTAAAAGTAGCTAAAAATGCATACCTTCAACTGCATAATACAATAGGTAAAAGATATTGGAATGTCAAAATCTTAAGAAAATGAATGTAACCCGAGTTTACAACTTACGTTTCTTGTTCTCATTGTCATAGTTTTGTTCTCTGGATTAACTTCTGAATGTTCATAACCATAACAAACCCGGTCAGCACCAAGAATCTGCAACAAGTTATGAAAGGTGAATCATACCCACAAATAAAGCCTCATTAATACAAGACGCATGCATCACATAAAAACAAAAACAAATAACCGAGTACATTGGACCCCTCTGCAGCACATAGTATCACCAGAAAAACAATGTGGAAGATCTACATGTTGGGAAATGTTTATAGTGGCCTTTTAAATTTATGGATGGTGAAATACTAAAGAAATTGTTATGTTTCGAATGCAGCTATTTAACCACTACACTGCGCAGAGCGCCTTGTGGCGCTGGATTATACAAGTGATATTTTTACATTCTTGCAAAGGCATTATCTTGCATAGCATTTCGGGCAAGTTGATCTACAGATTAGCTCAATTTATCCATTCTCTTTCCTCACACCATTAAAATTTGCCAACACATTGAAATGTCAAGTGTGTTTTCCAGAACACAGTACTGTACCACCAATAATTCCAAGTGAACCTATGGTGACTAACCCTGTATGATACACTAGAAAAAATTATCTACTGCAGATGAGGAGTCACAATAACATGGCTGAAAAATGTTGACCAAACCACACACACTAGAAAGTGAAGCGACGACGACGTTTCGGTCCGTCCTGGACCATTATCAAGTCGATTGCAACAATGATCCAGGACGGACCGAAATGTCATCGTCTCTTCCCTTGCTAGTGTGTGGTTTGGTCAACATTATCTACTGCATATTTCATATGGGAATTACAGTATTTGATTACAGAATGTATGGCACTGTATTTAATGATCCGGTTCCAAATTTTTAGCAAGTATATAATTTATTATACAGTACGTAACCTTAAACTTACATTCTGGGCCCATGACGGCAGGCCCCACCGAGAACTGATGAGTCTGTGAGAGTGTAACACACCATTCACAACTTGTCGCTCTACAACATCTGTGCCGACGACTGCTGGATTGTGAGGGTTTGGGTATTTTCGCCATACTGCTTGTGTTACTGTTTCCCAAGGATGGCTGAAGAAAAATCGAATCAAATACTGTAAATACTTGCATAGTACAATGGACTTATAAACATCTTAAATAAGAAGATACAGTACTTATATTTTTTTTTAGCAAAGGGGCAGAGAACTTTCATCAAATCACTAAAACTACATAAATTGCATTCTCTCCCTTCTAAGGTGGAGTAAGTTACAGTGGGCAAGTCTTACTGAAAAAGATTTACTGTACTTACATCTTTTCTACCTTTGGAAAGTTTAAGAATATAATTAGCCTACACAAAGAATAATCACTTGCTCCCATGCTTTCATATATTCAACTTCTCTCACTTTCATAAAATCCTCAGTAAGTTCCATTAATTAACTCTGATGTCTTCACACTATTTCAAGCAGAAGTGTAGAAGTGTCTGATCGGAATGATATTTTTCAAACGAGCACCACAGAGCTTTGAGGTTACCAGAGATTAAGTAAAGAGGCATCTACAGGTACTAGAAAATAGCTAAGGCAGTGGAGAATCTATGGATACTAAGTGAAGGAGCTGAAACCCAACACTGGCCACTTACTGTGATATGTAGCAAGTCACAAAAAAAAAAAAAAAAAAAAAAAAAAATACTGGAAAGTTGGAAGACAGCCAATGTAGTGCCAATATAACAGCAGACTGCTTATTAACTTACATCATTATATTTATTTATAAGGTACAATGGGTTATGAAGGTACTGTACATAAATTGGTGATTAAGTGATAGTCTTGCAAAGCCACTATGTAATAACACACAGCATGTCAGAAAACCTTTGATGCTGTAACCAATATTAAATGTAACCAATATGTAACCTTTGTTAAATTATCAATCAAGTTGTCAATGCTATCAATCAAAGCTATCGATGTGCTTTAATATACCTACTACTATCATTTTTTTCTTGCAATGTACCTGTTATCATTTTAAAAATTTTGCTAGAATTTACCTACTTAAAATTATCTGTTAGATTAAGGACCTGCCCGAAACGCTACGCGTACTAGTGGCTTTACAAGAATGTAAACATGTACCCTCACAAACCCAATGTACCTTGTACATATATAAATAAATACATGAGATTCATGCACAAGTTGGGGAAACAGGCAAACGTGACTGGTAAAGTGCTTTAATGGACAAGGGAGTATAAAAATCATTAAGAGATGTGGAGAGAAAGTTCTAAGCCTTTATCACTATATAATCACTGAGGGGATACTCCTTCCTTTCAATGGTTTTTGAACACCAAAATCACACTATATAATCACTGAGGGGATACTCCTTCCTTTCAATGGTTTTTGAACACCAAAATCATGATGAAAATGCCAGAAAACTACAAAACTTTAGGATGGCCTTGACAAACTGTAGGAATGGGCCAACGTGTGGCTACTTGTTTAGGAAAATTTATTTGTTAACATTCTGTATTAAAAATCCCAGATAGGGTCCTCTAAGGGGTAGGGTCTCGGTAGTACAACAGTTGGGTTCGTTGTTGACTTGCAATCGAGAATTCCGGATTCGAATCCCGAACGGGACAGAAATGGTTAGGGCCATTTCCAATTGCCTAATGCCCATGTTCACCTAGCAGCAAGTAGGTATCCAGAAGTTAGCTTGTTGTGGGGTTGCATTCTGGGGAAGGGGGGGGGGGGTAGGGTTAGTAATTCAGCCTTGGGGGGAACCTCAATTTAAGTTTAAGGTGTATAAATACACTGGCTACCTGTTCCTTGAAACAATGATTATTAAATTATTATAAATACCATAGCTGGGTTATATTAAGTGAAAGTTAGACATATACTGTACAGTATATAAATATGTTGGGAAATAATATGAACTTCACGTGGATCAAAAGCCTTCTAATGTTTCATTTTTCTTACGTTATTAGCTCAAGCAAAATAATGCGGCTGCATGCCGAGACAACAGACCTGACAAGGTATTAAATGGGAAAGGAAACCCACTAATAATAAAAGATTGAACATAGTTAGCAGTTAGCATTGTATCACACCACACCTGGTAGAGGCAGACTCCAAACACAGCTTCCAAATTTTATATGACATTGCCCGAGACTGGAACCTGTACACTAGTCAACTGAAGGTCGAGAGGCTGGACCAAGGAGCTAAACCTCATTCATTGCCCCCTCAAGCCTATTGGATAGGTTCTTTCATCTAATATCAACACCTGAGCCATCACCACCCAACGACGGGAGACATCTCCCGTCACGCAGGGTGCAGTCGCACCTCCACAGATCTCCAGTATCAGCTCTTGATACTGGTAATGGCTGAAAAGGGCCACCACTTACGGGCTATTCATGCCCGTGCCACCTTTTGGGTGGCTTAATCTTCATCAATCAATCACCACCCAACACCTTAAGGAAGCCAGCAGTTGTTCTTGCAAGCGCTGCATCGATTGGCGAGGCTGAACCTGGCTCCCACCTGGCTATGACCACCCTCCATATATTAGTGAACACACGTGTAAACACCTGCCACAGGTGAGTGAGGCACACCCTCCCACACTGACACACACAGGTGTATAAACTGTTAAACATGCGCTAATTATTCCTTCACCAAGACGACCACCACCAAGCCGGACAGTAAGAACACGACCACCGGGTATAACCTCACACCAATGGTATCACTTTACAAGTTCATTGATGAGAGGCGGAGTGAGAGGGGCGAGTAGTGAGGGGGTTTATCAGCACCTTGACTCACTACACCACTAAACACACTCAAGGCTGACCAGACCTTGACATGCTGGAGCTCCCGGTGGCTCCTCCAGGGGGCTCAACACTCCTGCACGCCTCTCCCCACCTGGTAATATCCTGCTGGACAGTGATTCATGCCAGGAATTGTTTCTTGTTAGCTGGTTGTTCCAGCGACCTGCCAGGTCGTCTGGGCTGGATTATTCCAGACGTGTTCCCAGTCGATCACAGCTGATGGCGGCGGCGGCGCCGGGGAGCTCCACCCCGCCCCTGGTAGTGCTCACGGTGCTCCTCTGCACTCACCTGAATACGTGTTCGGACGTCCAAATCTTCATTATTTTTTGTTGAGGTGTAAAGTACTTGAAATGCACAAAATAATTTAGGTTGGAGCTCAACAGGAATCAGTGAGGCCTGACGCGTGTAGCCGACAGCGGCGAGTTACGACGAGCACTGAGCGGCGGCGGCGGTGGCGGCCCTACGCAACACCACCACACCTGCCAACACCCGCCACATTCATCTTAAACATTAACCACAATCTTCTCTCTCTTTTATATCACTCACTTACTATACTCATGCATGCAGACATATACGATGTCGGTAACTTAATATGCTTCATTGACAACAAAGTTCATATCGTTGTTTTATGTTGAATTATAAATAATGGAGTGTGTGTGGCAAGGGACTCGTGACGTCACAGTGACGTCTTGGAGGTGCCTCTGGTCTAACACAAGAACTTGATTCCTTACTCAACCATTTGTCTGGCGTCTCCGAGAACCAGTCATTTTATCACATTCTGGGAGGGTGAGTCTCATGAGCGGTGTTGCCTGCGGCTGTTTTGTTATACACGTAGTAACTGTGCTGTATATCAGGAAGTGAGCGCAGTATTCTCACTGGCAATCAACGCGCATGCACCTCAGGCTCACATGCACCGTTTATTGAACGTTTTCATTCATTAACATTTACCTCAGCATATGCTATCCAGTGCATTAATTTACATACATGTATGTGTATTCGGAACTAATAGGCCTAGGCATGCATATTTATTTCCCGTTGTCAGAGGCAGGAAGCCTGCATACTTTTTTTCCATTAACAAGCTTAGGTATACACAGCTATGTGCTGCTACCCTATTCTATATGAAACACAGTGTATCTACACAGTGTAGATAAAAAAAACAGCTACAAGCTCACCCAACATTCCCACCTCACAGGACGTCCAGTCATACGTGGAATCATTAAAGAACAAGAAATGTGTGGCTGACCTAATAGCCTCCACTAGCAAAATCTTTGTACAGCACAAGAATATCTTCCAATATTCATGAGTTTTAACATGTCAGTGTGCCTACATCATGAGTTCCTGCGTTCGAAGAGGGGGAATTGTCTTACTGTGGATGAAATGCTAAGTGATCATTTTGCATTACAAATACAGCTTAAACTAGATAAAAAGAATGCTTGCCTTCAGAGGAAAAGGTTCGAGTTTAGTGAGAGAAAATTAAAGGGTCTTGTTGGCCATATTAAGTCTTGGTATGATACTTATAAGCCAGTTTCGGCAAAAGCATTTTATGAAGATCTAATTAAGGAGGTAGATGTATTTAATGCGACATTGAACAGAAGAACATCTAGTGAAAAAAGCATCCCCACAGAAAAGAAAATTATACACAGGACAAGATGATTAAGGGCCCGGGTGGTCATTAACAATGAGAAGAGCTCACAGGGATTGGAATGGGAATGGTAGGACTGAGGAAGGGAAGAATGCTCTACTGCCAGTTGCTAGGCTGTGTGGGGGGGGGGGAGGAGAAGAGAAAGGAAATTAGGAGCAAGTATTGGCGGGAGCTTGCAGAGAAAGTTGGGAGTAACAGAAACTTGAAGGAAATCTGGCAAGATGTAAATAAAGTAAGGGGTAAAAAGCATAATTTTGTTGCACATCCTGACCTGCAAGGAATTGCAAATGGTCTCATAAATAAATGGGCGGAAGCTGCCAAACTTAGTTCTTTACCCGCTATAACGAGAGTCATTAGATTCTTGGAAAGATCTAAGAAAGGATTTTATACTTACAGCAGGTAACAGTGGTGATGTCACTTGCACAGGTATTACCAGAGAAGAACTAATAATGGCGATTAAAGTTGAGAAATCTATCCCCCCCCCCCTGGGAAGGATGGAGTAACTTATGAAATACTTAATACAGTCCTGACCCCCTTGCTCTAAATGCCACAGTAAATACTGAGCTAAATAAAGTCCATCTTTGGCTAACTGCCAACAAACTCACCCTTAACATTGACAAAACTTTCTATATTCTGTTTGACAATAAATCCTCTAATCAAATAAATCTCAAAATAAACAATACCCAAATTTGTAACAAATTAGATGGCAAATTCCTTGGCATTCTCATTGACCACAAGCTGAATTTCCAGGCCCACATTCTAAATATATCAAAAAAAGTTTCAAAAACTGTTGGCATTCTTTCTAAGATCAGATATTATGTACCCCGCCCTGCCCTGGTGACTCTCTATTACTCCCTCGTCTATCCATATCTCAACTATGGTATTTGTGCTTGGGGTTCTACTACCCAAAATCATTTACGTCCTCTAATTACTCAACACAAAGCTGCTATTAGGACAATATCCAACTCTGGCCCCATACATCACTCGGTACCCCTACTCAAATCTCTGAATATGTTAGACATTAAGTCACTGCACATTCTCTCTTGTGTATTATACATATATAAAACGCTAAACTGTAATGCAAATCCTGACCTCAAAAGCTTCATAGAAGGTTGTAACAGAACCCATGAGCACCACACCAGAAATAAATACAGTTTTGATATTCCTAGAGTACGACTTAATCAAACTAGAAATGCTCTACAAATCAAGGGACCCAGATTGTGGAATGACCTTCCCAACCATGTTAAAGACTACCTCTCTCAACCAGTTTAAGATAAAAACTAAGCTATACCTAATAAATTCCCTGTAACCTACCTTACCCCTCTAATGTCATCCAATGTCTGTTAGAATTGTATTTGTGCTGCTTTTTCAGCTATGTTTTCATTCCATGTTTTCATTTTACTCTTTATGCCCAATTAGTATTAAGCTTTAGTCATTTAAGTTTTTATGCCCGAAACGCTTTGCGTAATAGTTGCTTTAGGCATTGTATGTACTAGCCCTAACTATAAATCCATCACTCTTTGTAAAATCTCTTTTATGTATGTACCTTACCTAAATAAACATTTTGATTTTTGATTAATGAACTTGCCATTATGAAGAAAAGCCCACTGTTAGACCTCTTTAATATTACTTACAAAGAGGGCAGTATTCCTAGTAAATGGAAAAAATCTATGATCATCCCTATCCATAAAGCCAATGGAGAGTACAGACCTGTGTCCTTAACCTCGTGTTTTTTTTTTAAATGATGGAGAGGATAATTTTAAATAGACTTTTATATATAATAGGTGATCATCTGTCTAGTAATTTGTTCGGGTTCCTCAGAGGCAAACGTACCTCTGACTGTATTATTAAATGTCTAGCTAATGATAATGATTACTATACAATTGTTATTGATATACAAGGAGTTTTTGATAAAGCCAGCAAAGAGGTTATCTTATATGAATTAGCTGGTCTTGGTGTTAAAGGGAGATTATTGCGCTGGATAGGGGATTATCTTCACGAAAGGAAGGCTCAGGTGCGGTATCAAGATTGTATGTCAGGTGTGAGATCTTTCGAACTCTGCACACCTCATGGAGGTGTGATAGCATCTGAGAGATACTCAAATGGGGTAACTCCGATCATATATGCCGATGATATTTTGTCTCAGTTCAAAGATATTTCAAAGGTTCAAACGGTGTTGAATAATTTCGGAAATCTGTGTCACCATATGGGACTGGTGGTTAATGAAGACAAAACTAAGTTTGGATGTAGAAGTCGGAGGCCTATTGTATTGAAAATCAACGGTAACAATATAGAAAGACTTAATATATATATAAATATTTAGGCATATATGTTGGATATACTCATGAGAGTTTGGAAGCTGAGATGAACAGACTGTTAGGTCAATGTCGGAAGAGATTACAACCTCTGAAGGCCTTGGCATGCTGTGGAAAGGGAGTGGAAGTCCCTGTGCTACGAATGATATACTTGAGTACTGTAAGATCCCTTATTGATTATGCTGCACCTGTCATTTCTTGTTTTGGTAAAAGTAGGATGGGCAGGTTGGAGACGGTACAAAATGAAGCCATGAGAATTATCTTAGGATGCCCAAGAAATGCTATGATTGAGATAATGAGGATGGAGTTGAACCTGAAGAGTATTGGGGATAGAATTTCAGAGATAAATGTAGCCTCCTCTGCCATTAAATAAATGAGATGATCCAGCTTAATTAAGAACAATTTTTAAATTAACAAACCATTGCACATTCAGTAATGTGCTGCTGCTGTTCTATTCTGTATGTGGAACTACAGAATATATAAATCACGCGCTAGCTCTATGAGGTCATGTCATCTATAATATGACATGACCTTCATCTCATGTCTTCATCTCACAGGACGAAGAAGCATAGTGTATAATGTATACCATGGTCTCGAGAGCCCGCAACATGGTCATGTTGTAACCAGACTCTACATGTTGTCAATACAAAGATGATGTCGTGGATGAATAATCTTATACCACCTTGCAATATTGGGTAAATGTTAGAACTGGTAAAATGGTGTCCCTCGCAATTATCTTTAATTGCATATTTTACCCCCTCGTTAACTTAAATGCCTCAGGGTCCAACAGGGTTGAACTACTGACCATCCCCAAGATGCAACTCCACAGCAGTTGACTAACTCCCGGGTATCTATTTACTGCTAGGTAATCAGCGGCATTAGGTACAGCGAAATGTGCACAACCATTTCTGTCCCGCCCGGTATTCAAACCCGGAATTCTCGATTGTGCCTCGAGAACGAACCCGACTGTACTACCGGGCCCTTAAAACTATCTATATGCAGGACAGTGTAAGACTCGCACTAACTATTCTTCCCGCCATTATAGTACTGTGTATGATGATGATGAAGATTAAGCCACCCAAGAGGTGGCACGGGCATGAATAGCCCGTAAAGTACTGTGTAATAAGAGCCACATATATATATATCTTCCTGGACGTTCGCACGTGTCGGCCTTGGCGAGGTTTGGTGCACGCCTGCTGGCGAGGCTATCAGCACCTCAGCACGAGGCTATCAACCTCCTGCTGAGGTGAAATTGCATCACTTGCTGATATAGTGTCCTGTACTGGCTTATCTCATGACCGTGACCGCAAGGTTAGATACAGTAGTGTAATTATATCACTCACCTTGTAACTGGATTATAAATTTGGGTCAATAAAACCCTCACTAGTACACCACAAATGTTAACCTGCTCAGTCTAAAGAACATTATGCTTCTGTAACCATTATCTGACTGTAACCTTTATGTTAATTAAGCAATGTTATGACTATTCT